TGCATGTTTAAAAATCTTAAATTACAAGTTAATATAAATAAACTTTTGTTTATCCCACATTTGTAAGTTCACCTTCCTATAACTCTATAGAGTAAATATTTATATGTTTTGCTTTCCTAATCTTACCAGTTTCAAAAAATATACAAGTATGTTTTTGCTTTCCTTTTATATTAGGAAGAGAATTTGGATCTTTTATATTCTTTTGGTTCTTTACATTGATGTCAACAAGTCTTGTGAGGAGAATATAGATGCTTAAGTGTAAATATACTTTATTCTGATTTTGACAAGCAGTTCTTTTTCATTTAAGTTAGGATAACATCTGTTTCATATGAAGAGAACATGTTGAAATGGCACATAATTTACATCTGTCCCAAGTAGCTATTTACTTGAGGCATGAACTTCCATAAACTTCCCATTTTGAAAGAATTTATGTGCTGCAGGAAGCCATTGAGACCATGGTTGCTTGTTCAGCAATGGCTTTGCTGAAAGAGGAAGAATCAAAGGAGGAAAGCCAATCTCCTGATAGTTCATGGGTTAAGTGGAAACGAGGAGGTATTATAGGTGCAGCTGCATTGACTGGTGGAACTTTAATGGCAATTACTGGTGGTAGGACGCCTAAAATTTTCTCAACTTTTAGCAGGCAGATATAATGTTAACAAGCTTCCAAGGGAATAGATTTCTCTGACCTTTGTCTTTATTTTATTCTTAAAGAGCTTTTACTATGTTCAATGAACAACCATATTAGAGAACAAATTGTAGGACTTTCTAACCTTTGTTTTATTATCAATCAGGTTTGGCTGCTCCAGCAATAGCTGCAGGCTTTGGTGCTTTAGCACCTACCTTGGGCACTCTTATTCCTGTGATTGGAGCAAGTGGGTTCGCTGCTGTTGCTACTGCTGCTGGGAGTGTTGCAGGATCTGTTGCAGTCGCAGCATCATTTGGAGGTAAACGTTTATAGGATTGTCTCTGTGTGTGTATAATCTTTTAACATTCTTTAGTTGAATCTTTTCTATGGGATGATTATGGAGACGGATAATGTAAGGCAACTCATATAGTTAAGATTGGGCTTGGACTGTGAACATCTTTAAGTAATTCTTCAGTTATTTGATGTTGTTACTGATACTTCTGCTTACCCAGCTGCTGGAGCCGGACTTACTGGAACTAAAATGGCCAGGAGAACTGGAGATGTTGATGAATTTGAGTTCAAGGCTATAGGGGAAAACCACAACCAGGGGGTAAATCATTAGCTCTCTTTTTTGATACTTGATATTTCTTCTTAGCATGTATTGTTTCACTGGGTAGGATTGCAGTCTGCTACTCTGCTTGTTTGTTTTTATCCCCTCTTCTTTATTCTCATAGTTTCGATGAGTTATAGTTTTACTCATGGACCATTTAGTTCTCTTTGGTATTTGTTCTCTCACTTTGCATATTCTCTCAGCGGCTGGCAGTTCAGATCTTGATCTCGGGACTTATTTTTGAGGAGGAAGACTTTATAAGACCTTGGGAAGGACAACATGATAACTCTGAAAGGTAAAACATTATTCTTTCTTTTTCTTAGTTTATTTTCATTTTGGTGATACTGCCAAGGTAGCAATGAGCATTATTTAAATTTCCTACTTGTATACCTGAACAACCCAACTGTTTCCCATATCTTTAGCACAAGGATTATAACGTGACATTTCATAATTTTCTCAGGTATATATTGCAGTGGGAATCTAAGAATCTTATTGCTGTGAGCACTGCAATTCAGGATTGGCTGACTTCACGTAAATATTTTGTACTTTGCTTTCAGTGGATGTAGTACATTGACCAGCTACAATTGTATTTTAAGTGTATAATGTTAACAAGCATGATTTCTTAAATAACAGGAATTGCAATGGAGTTGATGAAGCAAGGTGCTATGATGACTGTACTACACACTCTTTTAATAGCTTTGGCTTGGCCAGCAGCTTTACTTACTATTACTGATTTCATAGACAGCACATGGTCAATTGCTGTGGACAGGTTTTTGTTTGTCTGCTTATCTTTTCTTTTACACATTCTTTTCTGATGTGGGATGGGGATCCGGGAGGAGGATGTGGAGATATTTTCCTTGCCCTTCCTCTGTAATCTAAAGGTTAAACTCTTTTAAGAGAAGGTGGTTTATTAATTACGAGGATGGGAAAATCAAAAGGAACAACTCAAATCATTTACCCGTATCACGATAAAAGTTTTGTATCCCTAGCATTTCTGATCTTTGAAATCTCATCCTTCCCTTTTCCAGTGGTGCTGATTACGCTCCAGCCTCCTACTGCTTGAATCATTGAGCAGTTGTGTCATACCATTTTGTGTCGAAGCAGGGCATCTTACTTCTTTGTATGGAAAAAGAAACTCTGATGATGGTTGCTGATGTGTATTTGCAGATCTGATAAAGCAGGAGTGCTCCTAGCAGAAGTGTTGAAGAAAGGATTACAGGGACACAGGTATACAAGCCTAAATGTAATTTGGAATATCTGCATTTTGATTGTCCTGAAAGTCTGGGCTTACTTGTTAGCCAATTCCGTTATTTATTGTCCATGATTGTTTCAGGCCTGTGACACTTGTAGGATTTTCACTAGGGGCAAGAGTTATTTTTAAATGTCTACAGGTTTTGGCTGAGAGTGAAAATAATTGTAAGTGTCTCTATATATTGTTTAACTTTTTAGATTGATCATTTGCTTCATGTGGACCACAACTAATTTGTTTTGAGGCGTAGTTGATTGCTTTGCTTCCTGAGATCCTGAAGTATTTGAATTTTGGCAGCTGGACTTGTGGAAAGGGTCGTTCTTCTTGGGGCACCTATTGCAATTAAAGATATGGACTGGGAAGCAGCTAGAAAGGTTCACATTGTCATAGTTTTCTTGATTTTAACTACTTTTAATTATAGTCGTAAATCTTTGGTCCTCCCCCCACACCCCTATTATCCCCTCCCTTTTCTTCATATTTTGTTTTCCTTACAAGTGTAGGATTCGATCTCATTACTATCTGAAGCTCGCTGTTCTTGTTTTGCAGGTGGTAGCTGGTAGATTTGTGAATGCTTATTCTACCAATGATTGGATGCTTGGAGTTGCCTTTCGTGCCAGGTATGCATTATTCACAAGCATAGTACTGATGTTGAAAATATCAACTACTGCTGCTGCAATATATTTGACGGTTTCAAGGATATCCTCACTATCTGCTTTCACGTTTGATTTACCGTTTTCTGCTTCTCTTTCTTGTGACTTCTGCAACTTCTTTTTAACAGTCTCCTTACTCAAGGCCTGGCTGGAATTCAACCAGTTGAGATTCCTGGTGTTGAGAATGTAAGTTTGATGTTCCCATTTTTTCTCTCTGTGTTGCAGTTGTCTCCATTTAGTTGAAGTTTAATTTCTTTGGTACTCCATTTACAGGTTGATGTAACTGAATTCATCAAGGGCCATTCGTCATATCTATGGGCTACACAAGAGATTTTAGAACTACTTGAGCTGGATACTTATTATCCTGTTTTCGGTCATCGCGTTGTAAAAACATAAATTTTACAGTTCTTATTTCTTGTAGGCACTTCATTGTTGTGAGTTGTGTCCCCATGCATTTACAAACTGTAAAGCTTCAGTATGTGAGTAAGATTTTGAAACAAGAATAAGCAACTTTGTAAATTTTAATGGAAAGTAGGTTAGCTAAATTCTGTTTCTTTTTCTTTCCAAAAACATGTTAGTCATTTGGAATTTATGATCACATTAGTTTGGGGATGATTGATAATCTTTGCTTTGTTTGAGCAAGTTTGAGAGTTGGGTATGACATAAGGAGGTTCAAATTTCGACGGAGGCAAAAACCATTAGGTGATTTTTTCTTACTTATCTAAGTTTGTTACGGTGGAATGTGCCGGTTGATATGTATTCGATGGAATAGTTAAGGTGCATGCAGATTATGCTTTTTCCCTTCCTCCCCAGCGCACTAATTACTACCGTTGTATTTTAAGAAGTCATGTGTGCAACAGACATTTAAATGTATATAAAGTTGAAATATATATTTATGTAGAATAATACACATAAGAAGCAAATTGCCAAGTAGAGTTCAAGTAGGATGTGTGTCGGATTCGGCTCTTCTTCATGTTCCCCAAGTTCTTGCTTGGATGTGAGACACATGGCACAGATAAAAATCAATGGCTAAGATTTAATTGATTAAAATAATATTCTAATTATGATTTAGATAATTAATATTTCATAAGAAAAATAATAATACCATAATCATAAGTCATAACAATATAATATCTTGTCCATAATTTTTTTTTTTCTTACTAGTATTATCTTCTGTTTTTCTCCATAAATATATTATAAAATAATTTCTCTTTTTCTAATTATTTTTTCCCGGCGAGTATTTTTTCTATTAATTATATGTAAACTAATTTCAAAGAGAAAGTTCAAAGTTGCTTTCTAAGACTTGCTCTTTTTTTTTAAAAAAAAAACGGAAGATAGATACTCATAGGAATTTTTTTTTTAGAAAAGAGAACAGTTTTATAATATATTTATGGACAAGATATTATATTGTTATGATTTATGACTTATGATTATGGTATTATTATTTTTCTTATGAAATATTAATTATTTAAATCATAATTAGAATATTATTTTAATCAATTAAATCTTAGCCATTGATTTTTATCTATGCCATGTGTTTCACATCCAAGCAAGAACTTGGATAAAATAGAGAGGAGCTGAATCCGTTTGTGTCTATTTGTTCAAAAACAAAAAGTTACGTAAGATGTAATAAATAGATGGACACTTTAAATTGATGGGTCTCGTGGATATCCTTGCCTGACATGAAAAAATATTTGATCTTCACACCATTTTGTGCGCGTGAAGGCTTTCTAAAATAATATATATATCGATCTCACCTTTTTTTTTTTAATCTTCTAACACGATAAATAGTTGAGATATGAAATTTACTAATGATACAATTTAGGTGTAATAGGATTAACATATAATATCCGTTTTTTTCCCGCCCCGCAATTCATTTCCGATATTCGCCCCGCCCCGCCCCATCGCTGGGAATGTTTCAATCCCAATAGAATACATTTTCCACTCGCTTTTCCGGCGAAGTAGAGACGATAAATCGGCGACGGAGTAGAAAGGAATGACGGAAACGGAGAACACAATTGCCACCAGCAAAGAGAGAAACTCCGCCGATCACTGCCGTATCAGCAATAATAAAAGTGTGAATAATCCGGCAGAAGCTGGAGGTGTAGGCGAAGAGAAAAGTTCATCATCTTCATCTGTGACCTCATCATCTTCATTGAAGAAGAAAGGAAAATCATGCAAAGGATGTCTATATTACTCGTCTGCTTATATATCTGATTCACGAAATCCTCTATGCCTCGGACTTGGCCGTTCTTTTCCTCAAGGTAAACTTGTCCATTTTTTGGTGTTCATTTAGTTGTTTGATATAGCTAGCGTTCCAAATATCTGTTTGGCCATGGAATTTGATCATATCTCAAAAAAATTTCAAGTCCAAGCACAACTTTAAATTCCAAAAATCACAACTTCAAAAACTCAAATTTTCAAGTTTCAACTTCAAAATCTATGGCTAAACGGGAGCTTAGTTTGCTCAAAATTTTGATCCTTGGACTCATTTTCTGAAAATGTGCTGCTTAAATATGGGTGTTCTTTGCCTTGTATTTTCTCAATGTGGCAATAGTCTCAATGGTGCGCTTGCACGTTGCACACGCATAATGATCTGCCAGGAGTCTAGCAGATTTCTATGTTGGTGTAGCAATAAGTGTGAGTATTACTGACTAAATCTCTTATTTGTCTTATAAGAAGAAATATTGAGTGTTGGAGTAAAATGAGTTCAAATAGAAAGGAACAGAAAATGGAGTATTCATATAGATTATTCCCACCAGTTTGGACTTGAGGGTAGTTGATTGAATAATTCGCATGCTACAACAAAATTCCGTTATTTGATCATGCTTTTTTCTGATAATTATTTGTGGTTCAAGTTCATTTAGTTGGCTACTTCTTTATTTTAGATTAGGACTTTCTAAACATTTAAAATTATTCATGAATGGACATGTGAGATTTGTGGTGAGAATTTCTGATATATCCCTTTGGCAATGCATATTTTTTGTTGAGAAGGTAACAAAGATTTTTTATAACTCTAGTCAAAGTGCATCACATAAATTGGGACAAAGATTTTTTATAACTCCTCCCTTTGTCCCAATTTATGTGATGCACTTTGACTGGCATAGAGTTATAAAAAACAAATAAAGACTTTTGAAACTTATGGTCTAAAACAAGTCATAAATGTTTTTGTGGCTATAAATCATCTCTTTAAAAGTAAAATTGAAACTTTGAAGTTAAAATGTTTCTAAATATAAAAATGTATCATTTATTGGGGAGAAACTTGAAAGGTAAGTGCATCACATAAATTAGGACAGAGGGAATTTTTCGTTATTCCAATTTCAATTTGAAATATTATTTGCAAATCAATGTTTGATTTACAATTTGATCCATTATTTCAGCTTCAACTTGAAACAAAGAACTTGTAGTTGAAAAATGAATCTGACGAGTATTTCAAGTGAAATAATGGTTTTAACTCACAAAAGTTCATTTTTAACTCTAGTGGAATCCATGTACAAACATATCTGACTTCCAAATACTTTCTTGTATGATTTGGGACTTCCATATACTCTTTCAACTTCAACTTCTTTTTTTTTTAAACTTCAACCTCCTCCTTTTTAAACTTCAACCAAATATTGTCCAAACACCTTACAGTCAGACTATGAATTTCAACTTGCCGATTGGATCTTGCAGGTTCTCTTTATATTGTTTGTAATGCTTGTTACTTTTGCTGTATTTGGACAAGAGAAACTCTTAACATTGTCTTGATTGCTTGTTTTTGTAGGTTACCCTTTGAAAGAAGTATGTATTGTTTTATGGGTAGTCCTTTGACAAAAGTATGCATTGCAACACCCAAGGGTATTTCCTATAGCGGTCAACAAAGTGAGCGAAAACATTGGAGACCAGTGTTTAAATTCTAGTAGAGAAAAACACACTAGGTGATTTCTTTCTATTTGCCTAAGTCATGGTGGGCTAGAGTTAATCGGTACCTGTGGGGGTGGATGTAACATGTACTCGGTGGGATAACTGAGGTGTGTGCTAGTTGCTCCCGATACGACTGTTATCAGTAAAAGGCATAGTTTAGTAAAGCATGAAATCAGAACATGTGACTTTACATACTTAATAGTTGAGAGCATCTCCCTCAATGTTATCTCTTCAATCATCACATGCTTTCTTTTTGCTGCTTAATTGTTGCTTTCTAAAACTTACCTACTTAATTAGCTAGTTTCTGAGACTCGTTTTTTTTGTTTTGATAACTAGTACCTCAATATATTGTTGGGAAATCTGAGATGCAAGCTTCTAAGGAGGGTAGGAACCTTACAGATTTTAGATATGCTTGTATTGGTTACTCCGTTTACCTGGATCAGAAAGCTCGGTCAGCTGATGGGCAAGGGGTTCAAACAGAATTGCCGGTCTGTGCTGGCCTTGAGGTTCACATTTGCTTTCTTATCTCTTTTATTCCTTCATTGCTTGTTCCTTGTTATGATGTTTTGAGGATAAATTTTTTATTCTGAGAAGATGAATATGATATTTTGAGGATAAATAGTTTGTACTGATGGTGAGTGGTTTTATTGAGATCAGAAGCAAATCGTGCATAGGCTTCTAATCTGCAGAGCAATTTATTCCCATTTGAGGTGTAATACTTTGATATCTCATGTGAAATGAGTTATACATACTATGTGACTGACCTGTCAGCTTTATTGATCACTTTTTGTAATGTGAAGTTAACTTGTGTCTGTAAAAGAGAGTATATCTCAGAAGATAATATGCATCAAATGCCCGTTGTTTTTTATATCCTAATTGTTTGTTATTCCACAACTTTCTTGCTCAACTAACGTAAGTGTGCACTGGCACAGGTCTTGGTGGATAGAAAGGTTAGTTCAGTTGAGGCAGCTCCTGGCCATGCTCGTAAGAGAGAAGGTGACTTTCTTTCATTATTTCAGAATTCAATGCCGAAAGAGGTCTTCACTGTATTGTTTTAGGTCTTTGATGTTCAGATGGACATGTGAATTTTTTTCGCAGTTGAAGAGTATTGCTTGATTAAAAATTTCCTAAATATCTTAATTCTGGTAATAGATTTTTCATGATTGGGACGTTTAACGAATTCCTAAATATCTTAGTGAAAGTTGGTCCATGTTTAGCTACTGCATTTCCTATGTAATTCTTGCTTTTAGTGATGCATTAGGAAATTCTTTTGGTCTTTTGTAGGTATCTTCCCGAGAAATATTTTTAGAAAATGTTAAATTAAAAAGAATTCATTAATATCTTTGATCAATATTAGAATTGTACTTCCCTATTTGTTTCTAAGAATATTTTCTCCTCTGCATTGTTACTCCCAAGTACCTATATTTTTGGCTAGGAGTCCATGTTGAAGCAGTTTACACCCAGCTAGCAGGTCTCGAGTTACAATGTTTTATACCAAGAATTGAGTGGCTTGTTTCACCTTTTGAGGTTTTCGCATAGCCTTTATATTCAGGACAGAGGCAAAACAATATGCCCTTTGCAGAACTACTGTTTTTGTGAAGAGATGTCCAGCTACTGTTTGGCCGCTACTGTTCTTCTCAAACTTACCAATACTTTTCGAGCTTCTTGAACACCATCAACAATCTCTCTGGCTTATATTTCCATGCTTTGCAGGAATCAGTAATTGCAATGAGTGGATCTGTCAGGATATAATTACAATACATCTGCTTAATGTATTGTTATGAGTTTCTTAAACATCTGAAACCATCATATTTTGCTGACAGCGGCATTTAACATATGGATTCGGTAGAATCCAATAGCTTTGGCCCGGAGTTTGTATTTGCATTATGAAATCTACTAAATATGTACAAAATAAATTTAGAACCCAGTTACTAACACTTGAAATCGCTGTTTTAGAATACAGATTACAGAACTCATAAAGTTCGAATCCTTGATCCATTCTGAATGCTGATCAAAGTAATGGCTTGGAGCATTATCTATGAGTTATGTGTTGTTGAAGGTATTTTGTATATTACCATGAGTTTAGTGATATACATATTTTAAAGAGATAAATTCTCATGTAATAACATATAAGAGTGGGGGTTAATCATAGTTAAATGGTCTTTATCCTTACTAGAAGATGAGAGAGAAGTACATGTAAGGACTATTTTACTATATGATTATTCCATGAGAAACAATGACCACTCAACATAGGTTAGTAGTCTTAGATGTAAAGCTTAAGAGTGGAATGAGAAAGATGACTTGTAAACAACTGCGAACTGGGTGGTGGACATTAAAGGGCGCTGTCAGTTAGCCTTTCGAGAAAAACTATGAGAAGAGGGAGCTTGGGACTTAGAGGGGGACATAGACATCCTGTGGAAGGAAATGTTAGGTTGATTAGAAAAGTAGCAAGGGAAGTGTTAGGTGTGTCTAAAGGTTTAGGATCTCCATCACAGGAATCCTAGTGGTGGAATAGGGAGGTACAAAGAGTTATTAAAGCCAAAAGATAGTGTTACATGAAGTTGCCAAAAGCAGAAGACAAAGAAGCCTTTGAAGAATACAAGAGAGCTAAAAGAGAACCTGAGAAGGCTATTAGTAAAAGCCCAATGGCAAGCTCTTGATGACTTGGACCAAGAGCTAGAGACATGAGAAGGGGAGAAAGAAATATTTTAACTAGCACGATTGAGAGATTAGAAGGGTAAGGATTTAAGTCAGGTGAAGTGTATTAAAGACGATTTAAGTTGAGGGTTTAAATCGGTTGAAGTATATGAAAGATGATTTACAACAAGTTTTGACGGGAGATGACGAGATCAAGAAGAGGAGATAGAGAGGCTATTTTGATCAATTGTTCAACTCGAACCAAGAGAATAACATTTAAGACCTCCACATGTCTGTGTACAATTGAAACTTTAGCTACACTCGTAGAATTAGGCCAACAGAGGTAAAAATGACATGAAAAGTATGAGGAAAGACTTGTGGTCCAGATAGTATACCTATAAAGGTTTAGAAGTATCTTAGAGAGGTTGGATTAGAATGACTCACCAAGATATTCAGTGCTATACCAAGTGATAGGATGCCTAGGAGTGGAGGAATAGTACTCTGATTCCAATTTATATGAACAAATGAGATATGCAAAGTTGTGCCACTTAATTCATGAGTCATATGATGGAACTTTGGAAAGAGTGATAGAGACTAAATTTAGGAACACGACAAGAGTGGCATAGAACTAGTTTGGATTTATGCCATGTAGATCTACAATGAAGGGAAGATTGATGGAAATTTAAAGGAAGAAAGATCTAACATGTTGTTCATTGACCTAGAGAAAACATATATGATAAGAGTACCATGAAAGTCCTTTGGTGGGTGATGGAAAAGAAAAGAATTCATATTAAACATATAAATTCCATAAAGAACATGTATGAAAGAGTCATCAGTAGCTTAAAAACATTAGCAGGAGATGCGAAGAAGTTTCTCATAATAGTGGGTTAGCGTTGAGCTCCTACTTGTTTAGCCTAATTATGAATGAGCTAACCAACACAATACAAGATGAGGTCCTATGGTGTATTTATTTATTGATGATATTGTATTAATTAATGAAACTAGTGAGAATGTCAACCAAAAGCTTAAACTGTGGAAGCACCTTAAAGAGCAAGGGTTTCAGGATAAGTAGAAGACGGAAGGCATGCACTACAAGTTTAATCAATATGAGAAGAGCGAAGGTGAGATTAGACGGGATTGTGGTACCAAAATGCAAATATTTAATATATCTAGGCTCATTTTTCAAGAGAATGGACTGATAGATGAATATGTTACTTGGGATTAAAATTAGATGGTTGAGATAAAGTACTATCAGGGTGTTCTGTGATGAAAGGATGCCTACCAAAGTGAAAGATAAGGTCTATAGAGCAACTTTAAGATTGACAATGTTATATGGTAGCGAATGTTGAGCCCCTAAAGCCCAACATGTTCTCAAGATGAGTGCTGCAGACATGTGGTTGCTAAGATGAATGTGCCGTCATACAAGATTCAAAATGACCACTTCGAGGATAAAATGAGAGGTCACTTGAGATGGTTTGGTCATGTCCTGTGTCGACCTACAAATGCACTGGCTTGAGGTGTGAGACTTTGGTGAGTGAAGGTGTTAAGGGGTAGACCTAAAATCAATTGGAAGGAAGTGGTTTCGGAAGGTCTACTAATCCTTGGAATCAATGCAGACTTTGCTAAAGATGGGATACAATGGCAGAAAATGATTCATATCGGTGATAATACCTACTAGTTGGAGATAGATTTTACACTAGTTAGAGAACTAATATATTATAGTTGTAGCAGTTTAGCTTTGTAACCATTTTTGCTTTTTCTCAAATGTCCTTAACAACACAACAAAAACATATTAATAAGAGGGACTTTAAGTACTGTCTTTTACCCAAAATCTAAACCTGATCTCCTCTCTCCTCATTTCTTTTCTCTCTCCCTCGTCAATGGTGACTCCATCAACTGCAACAAGCAAAAAGCTGGGAAATAGATTTAAGACAAACAATAATTTTTCTTCTTAAATACATTTTGGAAGATCAAGTTAGCAACCTGACCATTGGATTTTGGTTAGTGGGAATGGTATTTGGTTTTTGTAATGCTAGAAGATAATCACTTGGGAAATACATATTCACTTCATCTAAAATAACAAAACTTCAAAACTTTGCATGATTGGTTGACTTAGGTTTTAGGGGTAAACAGAAGTTTACAAAGGGCAATCAAAACATACGCGCCCCTCAAAAGAATTAAAAAGAGGCCCGTTATTCTTGTTTAGCTTCAGCTTCTACTAGAAACCCAGATTTCAGTTTTGTTATGTGGATTCCATTCACTACTCAGATTAACATCCTTGGATCCTGGGCTTTAAGGTACTTCAGGGGACATAACAAGCAAAGTTAAACAATTATGATATGTCATGTTTATGGCCCCCTCTAGGGTAAAAGATGTAGTGTTCAATTCTTAAAAGTGCACCCACTGTTTTTCTTCTCTAGAATCCTTTTATCTTGAAGAGATGACGATCAAACAGAAGAGAACAATACCAAATAAACTATTTCGTTGGGAGAAGTCCTGAAAGGAGAACTTTAAAATTTCAATCTGTAGAACTGTACATGTTGACATTCAAAATGTATTCTGTTTCGATTTATTTGTCTTAGTTTGACTTGACCCGGAGTTTAAGAAAGAAAGGAAGATTTTTGAATCTTGTTGTTTTAAACTAAAGATATATTTAATGTATCAAAATGCCTTTTAATTCTGTGGTCTTAAACATGCCATGTGGAACGTTGAAATTAAAGAGTTGTCAAATTAGAAAAGAGACATTTTTTTTTTAAACATACTAAAAAGGGAAGTGTAAGACAAAACAAATTGAAATTGAGTGAGTATTTGTTATTTGAACGTGTTGCCAAAACAGAATATAGAAGCTTATTGCCTGATTGGAACTTCAAAGGTTTTGGTTCGCCTGTAGAACTTACTTGTTTTAGCTTTGCACCTTAGTGAATCTATAGACAATGTTTTGCTAAATTACAACTAGCAAATGCATTGAAAAAATGTTGTACGAAATTAGGTATCTTATTGCTTTGGTTGGCTTCGATTATTTCACCTCTTTGTTTTTCTCTCTATATTTATATTTATCACTCACACACACATGTAAAAAGGCTCAAGTGCTGATTGTCCTTTTAAATTCATTTTGATTTTATTAGCATAGTTTGGAAAGAATTTTGTAAATCACAACGCTTAAATGGTGAATGTAGTTTTTAGTTGCTCGTAATTTAATATGCTATTTAACTCAGAGCTCTTACTGAAACATTTTTTTCTAATTTATGATTTTTGTTCTTTTAGACGGTCATGGAGTATCGCAGCCTCGATCACATAAGCCAACTCACTCAACTGGTAATGAGTTTCTCACCAGGCAAGCATTCTTAAAACTCTTGATATGAACTCTGCTGGAAGTGAAGTGCTTGATAACAACACTCATGTACTTTGATTCCTTGAAAATACAGGTTCACCAGGAACGCAAATTTGGTTGCGTTGGGGGTTGCCAAGAACTTGCAGAAAGTGGGAAACCGAATAAAAGAAGGTGTTGATGACATTTTCTATCGACGACCAAAATAGAACTCTGGCGTGGAGTTAGAAACAGGTAAAGATCACATGGCTGAAAGTAGCTCCGTCAAATAATATATGGAGTAGCTTCTTTTGTTGCCCTCGTCATTTTGATATCTGAAATACGCGATCTTAGCTGGTAATGGGGAAATTGTAACGTGTGTATGAAATCCGTATTGATATTTGTTCTGTCAATTAAAATTCATAGCTACAGAGGCATATATATGATGCCAAGGTAACCTGTATAATATTATGTACATCGAACCAGGTGGTTTGTTTGTTACTAGTAATGCAAGGCATTCATTTAGGTCAGTCATGATTCTGTGTATTGATAATTTGTTTTTGCTCGAACCATTTGTTACAGCTGTGATATTGTTCGCGTGGGTGTTCTAGACAATAGACAAGATGCGGATTCTGGATTTTAAGTTTATAGGAGCTGGACTACGCCCTCATTTGAAGGCTAGCTCTTGCTTCGGAGCTTCATTTCCACATTTCACATATTGGAAAGGGCAACCTGAAAAGGAAAACTCAAGTCACTTGACAAGTTTTCGGAATGCTCCAAATTCGACTTGAGCATCTAAATCTAGCTCAATACTAACAAAAATAAATATCTCTATACAAGGTTCTTGCACAATCTCTTTTGCTTATTGGGTTATTATGACGTTATGTATATACGTGTTGAAATCGAAATGAATCTTTTAACACAAATACAAGGTAAATACAATGATGGCTCGTCACTTGCTCGGAAATGATAACCAAAACAACGAATGAGTAGAAGATTGATCTTGGAATAAGAGTGAATCAAGCGACGTGTGAAAATGGATCTTTTAACACAAATACAAGGTAAATACATGATGGCTCATCACTTGCTCGGAAATGATAAGCAAAACAACGAATGAGTAGAAGATTGATCTTGGAATAAGAGTGAATCAAGCGACGTGTGAAAATGGATCTTTTAACACAAATACAAGGTAAATACATGATGGCTCATCACTTGCTCGGAAATGATAAGCAAAACAACGAATGAGTAGAAGATTGATCTTGGAATAAGAGTGAATCAAGCAACGTGTCAATTAGATGCACATTACGAGTTTAAATCTTTTTCTAATTAAGTGGAAAGGGTTATAAGGGTCAAATTTATCCTTCATAGATTTTGTTTACGTGTTTATTTAACCTGATAAGAAATTTTCAAATAAATGCCCGTCTAGCTCAGTTGGTAGAGCGCAAGGCTCTTAACCTTGTGGTCGTGGGTTCGAGCCCCACGGTGGGCGATATTGTTTTTGCACCAATGTTTGATTGATCTACATTATTTATTTGTTTAAGTTTTTCCTTAAAATAGGCATTATACTTTAATTATGCTATTTTTCTTTTCACTTAACAAAATATATACAAAGTTAATTACAAAGATTAGGATGCAAGGTAAATTACAAAACTACTTCAATGAGGAAACATATCTTCATTTATATGAGTAATGATGGTGGTAGTTGAAGATGGTGAATGATTGTAATTTATAATGGTACGCAATAATAATGATGGTAATTGATAATGGTGGACAATGGCGATAGTTATGAATGGAGTTCACGACACAATCACATCAAACTAGGGGCGGATTTACTGTCACGATCCAAAAATGGACGTGATGACACTCATCTTATCCCACCAAAACAAGTCAGCCTAAAACCCAACTAATACGGTGAATGCGGAAGTAAAACGAGAATAAATGTTCAATACTATAAAATAATGCGGAAATAAACTCTAACTAAAAATTGAATAATAATTTATAATGCGGATAATAAGTCAACTTAGCTAAATCCCCAAAACCTGGTTGTCACGTGCACAAACCTCTAATGTATTACAATAGATGTGAAAGAAATAAACCTGTCTCAAATGATGTTGTCTCTAAAGTAGAACAAGATCATAAATAGGAGTGAAAAGGTCTGCTGAGATGACAATCAACTACCTCACAAATCTCCATAGGAAGCCTCAGACAATAAGATAAGAGAGAGCATCATGAAGATCTGAGCTTTTAACCTACACAAATGTAGAAGCAAGGGGTGAGTACCAATACACGGTACTCAGCAAGGGAACTCCAAAACACAAGGTAAGAATATAGAATACGGATACTCCTACCACTCCAACCGAACCCACAATTACAACCTGCATAAAATCAGCCCAACCTAATAGTTCACTACTATTTGCTAGAACATAGCTCAATAACAACACTCCAACATAGCATATTGGCAACACAGGAGATCAAGTTCATAATTCACAAGTTACACAAAAGACACTCACAAGTTCACAAATGATATAGATATGCAATGCAATGTCAAGTATAGTGATGCATGTCTGACCTAACGATACACACCCGTTGTCTCTCAGTCCGGGACCCATGAGAGACATATCTATCCATGCATCCATCGCGGTGTGCGACACGTCCCTCTATAATAGAATCTGTCGCGGCGTGCGACACTTCCCTCGATAATAAATCCATCGTGGCATACGACACGTCCCTCAAATCAAAATATCCGTCGCGGCGCTGACACGTCCTTCGAAATGGTACATCCTCTTTAATTCCTTTTTCTTACTCAATTCACATAATATTTATCACAACCATGTCTCAGAACCAATGCAAATGACATGTTCACACAAATAATGAGGAGATGACTATTTTCATAACAATGCACAATTCACAACAACACAATCGTGATACAACATCAACAATGAATCAATAAGTCTTTCAAATCATTCTCAACACATCACACACCAATAATTAATCACATTGCCTTTTATTACCCTTTTTTCATCATTAGAAATTATTAAATATGGACAAGTCAACCCATCACCAAGTCTCATTACTCCCCAACACATACCACGAGGAAATACAGGATTCTATACACTTAACAAGGGTTGAGAAATCCACTTGTCTCAAACAATCGAGCAATTACTCTGGGACTTAAGCATTCCTCTTTCGTTGGACTTCCAAATCAATACAATCTATTCAAATAAATAATCACAATAAGATTTCAAAACTAACAACACTCATTACTATGTGTCTAGTCTAGACCCAAAAATTCACTCAAATTTATAATCAAGCTCATAATATTGATGCCAATGAACATGTCAACTCTCATAAGTCTTAATTCCTCCAAATAACAAAATTTTATTCTAATAATGAGTCACTTTGAATGTAGATATTCCCAAATTCACTCGTAATAATGAGGAATTCACTTTGGGAATATCTACATTCAAAGTGACTCACCTGAAGCTAGAGAAAATAGATAAAAGTAAGAGCATTAATAAAAATAGGGAAAACATAATTATAGATAAAATATATTTACTTAATTTTTCCCCATATTGAGTTTGAAATTTGGAGGTAAAAACGAGTTTGAAATTCAAATTCCAAAATTATCAAGTCAACAAGTTTCGAATTTGATATGTCATTGTCATTTTGATGAGAGTGTCATCATTATGAAATATTCTTTGAATTTATGCAAATTTCTATGAGGGGTATAAAAATTTGATTTTAAAGGAGGGCGAAAATTTGAATTTTGAATTTTTATGGAACAAGCGGAATCAAAAATTAAAGATCATCCATTTTGAAAGTCATTGAGTGTAATTTCATACATTCTTGCTAACAATTATATTTTTAGAAAGTATTTCAAATGATCTAACAGAAAAAAAAAATTAAGTGAAGAAAGTTGTTTTGGCAAAATATTTTTATTAGGAAAATGCAATTTTTTGTTTTTGATTGCAAGAAAATTACATATTTTCTATCAGACACACACTTAATATTGAATAAAAGAGAGAAGTGTTGAAAATACATTTAAATTAGGCGTGAATTATTAGTTTCGTCCTCAAACTATTAACAGTCTTAAAACAGCTCTCTACTTGACTAACTAGACTTAGAGCATATCCCCGATTTGTCACATTACATAACAAGTAGTCTCAAACTCTTGTAAGGGGATGCAACTCTTAATAAAAAGCCGAGAAAAGTATTGAAAACACCTTTAAATTTAGCGAGAAATTAAAGGTGTATTTCACTCATGTTACAAGATCGATGATGTATTTAATTTCTATTAATTAAGTTGATAAGTGTTTTTAAATAATTCCAGGAATGAAACTAATAATAGTCAGGGTGTATACATAAGGTGATTCTAAACTATATTTTTAAAGTTAGAGCCTTTGAGCTAAAAGTTAATGGATGCCCTCGAATATTACTAAAACAATTCCATTACTAAAACAATTTTATTATATTATATTTAGTAGTCATGTATTTTCTTTTTCTTCAAAGTACATTACTATTTATTGCTTCATTGGCTTATTTTGTTCTTTTTGACTTTTGTTATCAAGTTTCTTTCAATTATATTACAAAGGTACTTTTTTTTTAGCCAGAGCTTATCAAAAATAGTTCTATTCCTATAAAGATAAAAAAACAATCCGCACTTATGAGATCATAATTATATTATTGTTAGTTGTATATGTGCTGCAAACGTTACAAAGTAGTTTAATATTTTATTTATTAAGGTTTAATAATATAGGAATAAATATCAAATTCGAGTCTAATATAATACATGGAATAAAAGCAGAAACAAACTTTTAACTTTACTTAGTTTGGCGTGCAATTGCAAGTCACTCATTTAGTTATTTTCCCTTTTTTGGTGTTATTAGTAGTACTTTGTTTAGGATGTTTCGAAAATAATCTTTCGATCTTCATAAAATAGAGG